ACAGTCAGACAGTCAGTTACACAGTCAGTTTGTTACAGTCAGACAGTCAGTTACACAGTCAGTTTACTACAGTCAGGTAGTCAGTTACACAGTCAGTTTGTTACAGTCAGACAGTCAGTTACACAGGTAGTTTACTACAGTCAGGTAGTCAGTTACACAGTCAGTTTATTACAGTCAGACAGTCAGTTACACAGTCAGTTTGTTACAGTCAGGTAGTCAGTTACACAGTCAGTTTACTACAGTCAGGTAGTCAGTTACACAGTCAGTTTGTTACAGTCAGACAGTCAGTTACACAGTCAGTTTGTTACAGTCAGACAGTCAGTTACACACACTGTCTCCAACACAACATCACAATACATAGGAAACATTTACCTCCCACCCTTGTCACCCACCCGCCCATTCATCCACCCACCAGAGCCACCCACCAGCACCCCACCCACCCACCCATTCATCCACCCACCAGAGCCACCCAATTGCCACCCCACCCACCCACCCATTCATCCACCCACCAGAGCCACCCACCAGCACCCCACCCACCCACCCATTCATCCACCCACCAGAGCCACCCAGTTGCCAACCCACCCACCCACCCATTCATCCACCCACTCAGAGCCACCCAATTGCCACCCCACCCACCCACCCATTCATCCACCCACTCAGAGCCACCCAATGCCACCCCACCCACCCACCCATTCATCCACCCACCAGAGCCACCCAATTGCCACCCCACCCACCCACCCATTCATCCACCCACTCAGAGCCACCCAATTGCCAACCCACCCACCCACCCATTCATCCACCCACTCAGAGCCACCCAATTGCCACCCCACCCACCCACCCATTCATCCACCACTCAGAGCCACCCACTGCCACCCCACCCACCCACCCATTCATCCACCCACCAGAGCCACCCAATTGCCACCCCACCCACCCACCCATTCATCCACTCACTCAGAGCCACCCAATTGCCACCCCACCCACCCACCCATTCATCCACCCACTCAGAGCCACCCATTGCCACCCCACCCACCCACCCATTCATCCACCCACTCAGAGCCACCCAGTTGCCAACCCACCCACCCACCCATTCATCCACCCACTCAGAGCCACCACTGCCACCCCACCACCCAACCATTCATCCACCCACCAGAGCCACCCAATTGCCACCCCCACCCACCCACCCATTCATCCACCCACTCAGAGCCACCCAATTGCCACCCCACCCACCCACCCATTCATCCACCCACCTCAGAGCCACCCAATTGCCACCCCACCCACCCACCCATTCATCCACCCACCAGAGCCACCCAGTTGCCAACCCACCCACCCACCCATTCATCCACCCACCAGAGCCACCCACCACCCCACCCACTCACCCATTCATCCACCCACTCAGAGCCACCCAGTTGCCACCCCACCCACCCACCCATTCATCCACCCACCAGAGCCACCCAATTGCCACCCCACCCACCCACCCATTCATCCACCCACTCAGAGCCACCCAGTTGCCAACCCCTGCCACCCACCACACCCAGAGCCACCCAATTGCCAACTCCTGTCATCTAACCTCCCATCCACAACCACCCATCATCCACCCCACCCACTTATCATCCACTACCCACAGCCACCATCATCCACCTCCCACCCACAGCCACCCCACACCCACCCACCCACTCGCCATCATCATCGGCCGACCAGACACCTCATAACAGCTTCCCTGTTAACCTGCTTATCAAAATTGAATCTCTGAGGAGGGACTTTGTGTGTGTGTGTGTGTGTGTGTATGTGTGTGTGTGTGTGTGTGTGTGTGTGTGTGTGTGTGTGTATGTGTGTGTGTGTGTGTGTGTGTGTGTGTGTGTGTCAGGAGGAGGTGAGATAAAAAAAGGTTTTCGAGGATAATTTCCGTCGTATCGAACTTAACCATTAAGTATCTTTTCTTCCCAATTGGCCTTAGAGAGAGAGAGAGAGAGTTATCGAAATTTAAAGATGAATAACCCAAACTTTTTCTATATATAATTTGTTTCAGTAACTTTTAATGATACACGCAATGGTGATTTTCCTGTCGAACAAACAATGCAAATTTATTCCTCTTCCCCTCCAAAAAAAATTAGAAAAATATAATTAAAAGTGATATTGTGGGATCTAGTCACCTTGGCGTCCTGGTCCTAAGATTGAAGGCATTTGAAGCTGTGTGTTTTGAACGGGTATGTAGTTTGTGACTGACATCTTCAAAGCTCTCTGTGGCAATTAGGTCCTCACGATGCCATAGTCCTGGGGTATAGATGTGTTCATGGTGGTTGGAGGTGGTTCTGTAAGATGGTAAAATATGAATGGATATTAAGGACAAAAAAAAACCAAAGTTAATGTCTAAATAAATATGGAAAAGTAAAAGACAAAAAACGTTTATTATATCACCTAGCCTCCAACTTAACCAAACCAACGTAGCTTAACCTAACTCAAAACCAAGTCCAACCTAACCAAACTTAATCAAACCAAACGTAACTTAACCTAACCAAAGCAAGTCCAACCTAACCTAACTTAACCAAACCAAACGTAACTTAACCTAACCAAAGCAAGTCCAACCTAACCTAACTTAACCAAACCTAACGTAACTTAACCTAACCAAAGCAAGTCCAACCTAACCTAACTTAACCAAACCAAACGTATATATTCCAATAAAAACACCAAGAATGATCCGCCTCCTATCGTCTCTGATAATTTCCTGTCATCTCAAACTAACAAATGTCTTCCTCTTTACTGGATCAGATCAGATATAACGAGAGAGTCTGAAAAAAAAATTATATTGACAAGTTTTCTGACACTGAAGAAAAAATAAAAAGTATTTGTTTTATAACTTGTGCCGTCCAGTGGTGCGGAAATTTATAATGGAATGTTTAATGAGGGTGATGTTGTGATGTTGTGATGTTGATGTTGTGATGTTGATGTTGTGATGTTGATGTTGTGATGTTGATGTTGTGATGTTGATGTTGTAATGTTAATGTTGTGATGTTGATGTTGTAATGTAAATGTTGTGATGTTGTAATGTTGATGTCGTGATGTTGATGTTGTAATGTTGATGTCGTGATGTTGATGTTGTAATGTTGATGTTGTAATGATGTGACGTGTTACTAAACAAACTTTTTTTTCTTGATTGACAAAAAGTATAAAAAAGTAGTATTATCTCTCATTACTGATGAAAAAAGTTGGTAGTTTGAGTGATAAGAAAATAATGTACTGACGCCATATTGAGAGAGATATTGTCTTTAATTATTTTATATTATGGGAGTTAGACAGACAGACAGACGGATAGACGGACAGAGACACAGATTGACGGACAGACACAGCAATTTACATTTTTAAAGATAAGAATAATTACCATTTTTTTTAATGCATTAGAAAATAAAGTAAAACCAGCCAAGAGTTTGTCTAATATATAAGATAAGGTAAAATATATCCCCTACCTGGCGGCCCATAGCATAGAAACAGTTCAATCCTAAACAACAATAACCAATCATAGAGAAGAAATTTTTTATTCCAGTTAACAATGTCTTCCTGCTGGTGGATACGATCAAAGGGAGAAGAGAAAAATATAATAAATTGCTCGACATTGAAAATAGAAAAAAATTTGTTTGTTCTATAACTTGTGGCTGCGGGGGTGAGACAACCGATAATTGAATTACTCCTTCCCAGGTATTTTTCTCACCTGTGTAAAATTCTATTGGAATATTTTGAGGTTTGTTTTCACCGAACCAAAATTTTAATTTAGTTTAACCTAACCTAATTTAACTTAACCTAACCTAACATAAAAAAAAATATAATTAAAATAACCTAACCTAACCTAGTCTAACGTAACGTAACCCAACCCAACCAAATTTAACTTAACATAACATAACATAACACTACAATAACCTAACCTAATCTAGCCTTGATTACACTAACCTAACCTAACCTAATCCAAATGAAACACGATTCATTCGAGTTCGGTTCTTCGTGAGGGTTCGGTTTTGGATAAGAGAGTTCGGGTGAGGAGTCAGACATCAAAAGGGCCCCTGGGATGAAGCGGCTCTTACAGGATTATAGCCTTATCAAACTTTGAAACAGTGTTACGAACAGCGATACGAAATTGGTAGTGACTCGAAATTGGTAGTGACTCGAAATTGGCACTGACTCGAAATTGGAAGTGAGTCGAAATTGGTAGTGACTCGAAATTGGTAGTGACTCGAAATTGGTAGTGACTCGAAATTGGTAGTGACTCGAAATTGGTAGTGACTCGAAATTGGAAGTGAGTCGAAATTTTTTAGTTAAGATAAAGTTAAAGATAATTTCACAATATAAACAATATGACTGGAATATTAAGATGACTGCGTGTGTGTGTGCGTGTGCGTGTGTGTGTGTGTGTGTGTGTGTGTGTGTGTGTGTGTATTACAACACCAAAAGTTTTTTCCTTCCTCCCCCCTTCCCTCTCTCTCCTTCCCTTCCTCTCTCTCTCTCCCTCTCTTCCTCCCTCTCTCTCTACCTTTCCAATTAAGTACCTTGGCTTATACCCTTTAGTTACATCCTAATTTACCAAAGTCTACTATCTATGTAATGTACTACCCCTTATGTACTACCCCTAATGTACTACCCCCTAATGTACTACCTCCCATGTACTAACCCCCAATGTACTACCCCTTATGTACTAACCCCACCATGTACTAACCACCCAATGTACTACTCCCCATGTACTAACCCCCAATGTACTAACCCCTAATGTACTACCCCCTCTCCCCATGTACTAACCCCCAATGTACTAACCCCTAATGTACTACCCCAATGTACTACCTCCCCATGTACTAACCAATGTACTAACCCCCTAATGTACTACCCCTAATGTACTACCTCCCCATGTACTAACCCCCCAATGTACTAACCCCCAATGTACTATACCACCTCCCCATGTACTAACCCCCCATGTACTACCCCATGTACTACCCCCGCAATACCCCCTTCCTCCCCGACAGTGTACTGCACGGATCCCCTGTGATCGCCAATGCTCGCCACAACGGGATGGCCGGCCAGGCACGCTTTGAGGTGAACCAAACTCTTCAGTACTCGTGTTTTGAAGGCTACACCACCAGGGGTTTGACGTAAGTGTTTCCTGTACAACAACACGATGCAATGGTTTGGACCAGAGATACAGTGTGAACGTGAGTATTGTGTGTGTGTGTGTGTGAGGGAGGGTGGGTGGGGTCAGGGGATGAGGGTTGGGTGTGTGTGGGGGGGAGGGTGGGGTAGTGTGGTGGGGTTGTGTGTGTGTGTGTGGGTGTGTGTGGAGAGGTTGAGAGTGTGTGAGGAAGGTTCTACGAGTATATGAGTGTGTGTGTGTAGTGTGGTGGGGGTGGGAAGGGTTACGTGTGTGTGTGGGGGGTTTGAGGGGTGTATGGGGTGTGTGTGTGTGTGTGTGTGTGTGTGTGTGTGTGTGTGTGTGTGTGTGTATGTATGTGTCTGTATAGGTGTGTAACCAAAGATCCACACCAAAAAAAAAACCAAACACAACCTTCAGAAACTCTCTATAACGTCCCCGTGACCTTTGACCTTTGTTGACCTGGCAGCCAAGACTTGTGGTGACCCCGGTGAGATTCAGAACGGTTTTAAAGAGGGGTCCTGCTTCTCCTTCTCATGTCGGGTTACCTACCAGTGTCGACCAGGATTCCAATTGATCGGGCGAAACAATTACTATTGTCAACACGATGGTACCTGGAGCCCACACGAGCTGCCTACCTGTTCACGTGAGTACTAACACCTGGTACTCATCCCTACCTGTTCATGTGATTACTAACACCTGGTACTCATCCCTACCTGTTCATGTGATTACTAACACCTGGTACTCAATCCTACCTGTTCACGTGAGTACTAACACCTGGTACTCATTCCTACCTGTTCATGTGATTACTAACACCTGGTACTCAACCCTACCTGTTCACGTGAGTACTAACACCTGGTACTCATCCCTACCTGTTCACGTGAGTGCTAACACCTAGTACTCAACCCTACCTGTACGGAGTATGTTTCACTCCATGCACTACTAATACGAGGTGAATATAACAGCATATTATTACCTTTACTCATTATACTCCAAGATCACAAAATAACCACACAATACTACAACCACCACACTGCCTCCTTGGACCCATTAACCTTCCTCAATAACTAAGGAAGATCTCTCCTCAACCTTACTAACTCAAACTATAGTCACGTGGAAGTCAATATTATAAGTAATAATAATATATATTCTTCCCATTATAGTAGTTACCCGTTTAATGTGTGTTAGGGTGTTTGGTGAGACACTACAAGTCGGTACATAAAGAAAATGGGATAAACTACAGCCAGCTTTATCGTTTTCTCTGACCTGTTATTGCTGGGGAAACCGTAGGAGATTTTTATCCAGTCTCTTCTCCCAGCCGTATCACCACATAGTTGTATAGTCTAGGTTTAACAACATTGTGTTATGTGTTTTGATAATCTATAACATCTGCAGGTGTTAGAGTATTGTTGTGGTTGTTATATTTGCGGCTGTGATAATCATAACTACAGAAAAAATAATAATTCATGGTATAGTTATATAGTGATGTTATGAGCATCTTGGAATATGAGTAAAGATAACATATGCTGTTATATTTACCTCGTATTAGTAGTGCATGAAGCGAGGCAGTGGTGCATGCTGAAGGCAGAGATATAACCCCTCCCCCCTCCTCACCGTCCCCACCCTCTACGCCTACTACACTATAGTTCATTTTGTATTGATATCTAAAACAAGCACCGTCCCTCATTTTAGTTTCTCGGTTTGTGGTTGGTTGGAGCCAGACGCCCACGATCTCATGAGTTTTGAGTCCAAATGATCACCCACTTGTCCCTCAACAGTCAAGTCGATCAGAGGCGAGCGATACAACTCCGAGGGTATCTCTCCTCTCCATCCTTGGTTGACGTTTGATTGTTTCATATTTTGAGATTACTCGTCTCAGGCTTTTCTGTGGCCAGGTATAACAAAATGAATACCTTATGTTCTCATAGTCCTCCAAAAAATAAGTGATGCAGTAAAAAAATAAATAAAAAATATTCCACGGAAACACCTGAGTCATTTAGCTGATGATTTGGACGAAGCAACTCAATTTTTGAACAATGCAAAGATTTTTCCTTTGCCAGACATGACAAGGTGAATGTCTGAGGGTACTCCGTACGACTGGATATTGCTTTACATGTATACTTAAGAAAATAAAGTAAGTTTCTCTGGAAGTTTAGCACTACGACAGTTGCCTGTGGATTAAGTGATGTAACTCTATTTTTTCTTATATTTTGGGCAATATTATTGTTTTATTTTGCCAGGCGTGGTAAGAACAACGTCTCACGGTCTTCTGGATGACCTGATATTGACTGACATTACAGAATTAAGAAACTACAACAAATCTTCCCTTGCGTCTTGAACAAGCTCGGTGTTGACACCTAAAAACCAACGTACCGATGTACTTAACTTTTATTTTTTCAAGATTATTAAATATGAGTTATTTTTGGCCACAACAGCAAGATGTGTGTCTCACCTTCCCGCAGATACCTGGATATCGACAAACATTCCAGAATTAAGGAGATACAAAAGAAATATAAACTCCCTTCAAACAAGTTCTCGGCTAGCCTAGTGGGAAGTACGGCTCAAACACGTACCATATTCCTGGTGTTATATAGCGACGCCTGAACATTGATAATACAACACATACCTGCCTCTGATTTTACCGGTGGCACTTGTAGTGTTGGTACAGCCCGTGGATAAGATGGTCTACTGTTTTCTTGGTAACACTTTTAACTGCACTTTCTTTGCTCAGTACTTAAGTCTGTATCACTTTCTTTGAAATGGAGAACTCACACGGGCAAATTTGGTGTATATTTTATCAGAACGCTTACAGGCATTTATCCATTTATCACAGGTTTTCTTATCTCTGCTCTCTGCCTGGTAGTTGAGCATTACTGCGTGTTTACAAGTGACGTCACAGAGCTGTGCATTGTGGGTAAAACAAGTGAACTATCCTAACAGGTGTCACTTAATCACGAAGAGATATAGTGATAATAATAACACACCAATAGCAGCCATCCTCTTTCCTAGGTCGAGTAATGCTGATTGTGTGGCTTAGTGAGTTACAGTATGTCACGACAAACGTAATTGATAGTGATATTTCGTCTCTATTTATAGCGAAAGGGATTTTTATTTTGTTTTTAATATGATTATACAATACTTTTATGAATATATAAGTTACTAGTGAATGTTTTGTCATATCAATGAGAAAAACCTTGAAAATTTATCTTGTAGCAGCATTTGGCAACTTTATTGCAAGACGAATTTCCCGCCTAATGTAAGGGATACCAATCAATGTTTATATTTTCTTATTTTTATAACACATCTAATTGCTAATTATGATAAATCAAGTAAAATTAGTACAAACTTGAACTATATTTTTTATGATATACAGCTACAGTGTATCAACCAGATTTTTATAATTATAATTTCGATATACTGTAAGTGTCCGTCAGCCTTTCCATTACTGAGTGACTTTTTTACTTAAACTCTTCTCGCCAACTTCAGTCACGATTTTTATTTAATTAATTACCATATTCTTCCTATGAAATAAAAGTCCATTTTCATTCATTAATTTAATAACTACATTATCTGGCATGACGATGATACGTTAACGATACCATTTTTGCAAAACTTCAGTTAGAAAAGTAATGGATAATGAAGTGCTCTAGATTGGCTCAAATTTGCTTCCACTTCGTTCTCATTGTCCTTTTAAGTTCATTTCCGGGACGATTAAGAAACACAAATAAAATAAATTATATATACACAAGTCATGATAAAGACAGTACATATTAAAACCGTAATAATTAAACACTACTACTACTACACACAAGAATATTAAAAGTAGTAAATTACGTTAAGTCTAGCAATATTCATAAGCAAGTAACAGTAATACAAGTGACGATCATCAGAGAGAGAGACAGTACTTACCCCTACAGTAGTCAAGCCGACACTGAATATACGTTATCTATAATATATATTTATTCTGTAAACAACCAATTATTAATTAGTAAGGACGCAACATAGAGACGTAAGCCACTGATTGCTTGGTACTCAGTCTTATATGTACTGTAGACGTGAGTACAAACACCTGGTACTCAACTCTACCTGTTCACGTGAGTACTAACACCTGGTACTCAACTTTACCTGTTCACGTGAGTACTAACACCTGGTACTCAACTCTACCTGTTCACGTGAGTACAAACACCTGGTACTCAACTCTACCTGTTCACGTGAGTACAAACACCTGGTACTCAACCCTACCTGTTCACGTGAGTACAAACACCTGGTACTCAACTCTACCTGTTCACGTGAGTACAAACACCTGGTACTCAACCTGTTCACGTGAGTACAAACACCTGGTACTCAACTCTACCTGTTCACGTGAGTACAAACACCTGGTACTCAACTCTACCTGTTCACGTGAGTACAAACACCTGGTACTCAACTCTACCTGTTCACGTGAGTACAAACACCTGGTACTCAACCCTCCCTGTTCACGTGAGTACAAACACCTGGTACTCAGCTCTACCTGTTCACGTGAGTCACACTGGTACTCAACCTGTTCACGTGAGTACAAACACCTGGTACTCAACTCTACCTGTTCACGTGAGTACAAACACCTGGTACTCAACTCTACCTGTTCACGTGAGTACAAACACCTGGTACTCAACTCTACCTGTTCACGTGAGTACTAACACCTCTGCGTCAATGTTATGATGGAACTTGCAATCCTTTAAGAAAAAATATCCTTCGGGACTTCAAACCCTTCAAGTTAGGAGGAAATAGGAGGAAGGTTTAGCGTAAGGAACCTTTTGTAGGATCCTTCTCTAGGACTTTAGGCTAGGAGGAAAATTTATCGTAGGACTTTTATAACATCCTGGGTGTAGGAGACATAAGTTCTTTCCTTCAACATTAGAGTATGACGTCCTAGAGCATCCTACCCAAATTGGCTTATCCTATGAAGCAAGATGGAATCCTAGATAGCTTGAGTGTCGCCATCCTTCATTTGTCTCATAGGATATTCTACACCTTATCCTCCTCTTTCAAGCGTATCCTACACGCTCAACCCTCCTTTCCAGGCATATCCTACACCTTATCCTCCTCTTTCAAGCATATCCTGCACACCACACCCTTCTCTCCCAAGCGTATCCTACACCCCGTGTCCTTGTCTCTCCTACAGCGGTGCAGTGCGACATCCCAGAGAACCCGGACAAAGGGAAGGCTATCTTCATCGCGGTATCCTACAACGCAGTGGTATCCTACGACTGTAACTACGGCTACATGATCGTGGGATCCTCTACAAGACGGTGTGGGGCGGACAAGAAGTGGAGTGGTGTTAAACCTATCTGTAAACGTAAGTACTGGTGCTACTGGTGGTACTGGTGGTAGTGGAAGAACTGGTGGTACTGGTGGTAGTGGAAGAACTGGTGGTAGTGGTAGGACTGGTGGTAGTGGGAGAACTGGTGGTAGTGGTAGGACTGGTGGTAGTGGGAGAACTCGTTACTGGGAGGTCTGGTGTACTGGGAAACTGGTACTGGAAAAACTGGTACTAGGAGAACTGGTACTAGAAAAACTGGTACACTGGAAAAACTGGTGTACTGGGAAAACTGGTACTGGAAGAACTGGTGCTGGAAGAACTGATTACTGGGAGAATTAGTTTACCGGGAAGCCTGTACTGGGAGTCACTGTTTACGGGTTAAGTTCTGGAGTATTTATTGTTATGGTCAGGCATATGATTAGAGAGAGAGAGAGAGAGAGAGAGAGAGAGAGAGAGGAGGGATAATGTGTGGAAGATGGGAAGAGAATAGGAAGGAGGATAGAGAGAAGAGATAGAAGAAGAAAGAAGGAGAGGAGAAAATAAAGGGGGAAATAGTCAAGGAGAAGGAGGAGGAGAAGGAGGGGAGGAAAGGAGATAAGATGGAGAGGAAGAGAAGAAAAAGAGAGAAAGCGATAGAGTAAAAGAGAAGAAGAAGAGGATAGTAGAAAGAAGAAGAAGAAGATAAGGTAAGAAAAGGAAGTGAACAAAAATAATAATTATCGTCATTTAAAAAACCTAGATTATTTTTTTAACCTTTTTTATTCAATGTCTTTAAAAAAAAATTATTAATCCCCCTTTTAAATTATAGTTCATGTTAATATAATTGGTGTTTGTTTGTATAATTACTATCTCTAATTAAGTCTTAGGCTGGAGAGATTCTCATTAAGTGACAGTTATAATTAGTTTCAATTATAGTCACCAAAGGATAGATGGATGATAGATGGATGGTAGATGGATGATAGATGGATGTTAGACGGATGATAGATGGATAGGTGGATGATAGATGGATAGATGGATGATAGACACATACTAGATGGATGATAGATGGATGATAGATGGATGTTAGACGGATGATAGATGGATAGGTGGATGGTAGATGGATAGATGGATGATAGACACATACTAGATGGATGATACATGGATAGATAGATGATAGATTGATGATAGTTGGATAGATGGATGATATATGGATAGATAGATGATAGATTGATGACAGATGGATGATAGATGGATGATAGATGGATAGATAGATGATAGATTGATGATAGATGGATGACATATGGATGATATATGGATAGATAAATGGTTGATAAATGGATAGATAGATGATAGATGGATAGATGGATGATAGACACATACTAGATGGATGATAGATGTACAAATAGTTGATTGAGGGATAGATAGATGATAAATGGTTGATAGATGGATAGATGAATGATAGATGGATAGATGGATGATAGATCGATGATAGCTGGAGTATAAGTTAAGTAATAGATAAATGATAGACAAATTATAGCTTGATAAGAATATCTTTATAGATAACATGATAATCTCTCTCCAGCTTATGACAATTAACTTTACCTTCCACAAAACACTAACTCATTTCAGCTCTATGTCTACAAAGCCTCACAACACAGAACTGTAAAAGAGGCTAAATTAAGACTCTCTCACAATGTTAAAAATACACACACACACAGAGCCTTAACTTGTTTTGTACCGTGAGTATATATAATCAGGGAGACTTAATTATAATAACATATAATCTGTCTACTTTTAAAGACTCAATTGGTTATTTTAAGAGCCTTTTCTGTTCAATAGGATGGTTAAGACTCATAAAATTTTAATATATATATTTTTTTTTGTGGGGGGGGGGGAATATTTGGTACTTTTGTTTTATTCCTGTGAGTCTTACAGGAACTGGGGAGACTTTAGACTCCTGAAATGTAGTTAAAATAATCCTATAAATGTTTTTCTTTGGTGTTTTCTTTTAAAGAGTCTCATGGCATCTATATAAACTGGCTGTGTAGACTCCTTCAGAATTTTCACAGTTTGGTCTTTGTTTTCTTTGTATAAACTGTATCCTGTGAGTCTATTTCAGTACACACACACACACACACACACACACACACACACACACACGTTGGTATCTTCTGTGAGTCTATGTGTATGGTTGGGAGGCTGAAGACTCTCAAACTTACATGTCATGGTCATTTGGTGGTAAGTGTGGTAGTACCAAGAGTATGGCAGAACCAGGAGTATGGCAGTACCAGGAGTATGGCAGTACCAGCAGTACCATGGCAGTACCAGGAGTATGGCAGTACCAGGGTATGGCAGTACCAGGGTATGGCAGTATGGCAGTATGGCAGTACCAGGATATATGGCAGTACCAGGAGTATGTAGTAGTAAGGGTATGGCAGTACCAGGCAGTACCAGGGTATGGTAGTACCAGGAGTATGGCAGTACCAGGAGTATATGGCAGTACCAGGAGTAGTGGGTACAGTACCAGGAGTATGGCAGTACCCAGGAGTGGACAGGAGTATGGTAGTACCAGAGTATGGTAGTACCAGGAGGTATGGCAGTACCAGAGTATAGTACCAGGAGTATGGTAGTACCAGGAGTATGGCAGTACCAGGAGTATGGTAGTACCAGGAGGTATGGAATGGCAGTAACAGGAGTATGGTAGTACCAGGAGTATGGCAGTACCAGGAGTATGGCAGTACCAGGGAGGCGAGTACCAGAGTATGGTAGTACAGGAGGGGCAGTACCAGGAGTATGGTGCACAGAGTATGGCAGTACCAGGAGTATGGCAGTGCCAGGAGTATGGTAGTACCAGGAGTATGGCAGTACCAGGAGTATGGCAGTACCAGGGAGTATGGCAGTACCAGAGTATGGTAGTACCAGGAGTATGGTAGTACCGGGGAGTATGGCAGTCAGGAGGGGTAGTACCGAGGTATGGTACCAGGAGTATGGCAGTACCAGGAGTATGGTAGTACTATATGGTAGTACCAGAGTGGTAGTACCAGGAGTATGGCAGTACCAGGAGTATGGCAGTACCAGGAGTATGTAGTACCAGGAGTATGGTAGTCCTGGAGTATGGTAGTACCAGGAGTATGGCAGTACCAGGAGTATGTAGTACCAGGAGTATGGTAGTACCAGGAGTATGGCAGTACCAGGAGTATGGTAGTACCAGAGTATGTAGACCAGGAGTATGTAGGCACCAGGAGTATGGCAGTACCAGAGTATGGTAGTACCAGGAGTGTGGGTAGTGCCCAGGAGTATGGCAGTACCAGGAGGTATGGCAGTACCAGGGAGGAGCAGTACCAGGAGTATGGCAGTACCAGGAGTGGCAGTACCAGGAGTATGGTGCACCAGGAGTAGGCAGTACCAGGAGTATGGTAGTACCAGGAGTATGGCAGTACCAGGAGGAGGCAGTACCAGGAGTATAGTACCAGGAGTATGGCAGTACCAGGAGTATGGCAGTACCAGGAGTATGGTAGTACCAGGAGTATGGCAGTACCAGGAGTATGGTAGTAACGGGTCAGCACTATGGTGTAGAGATCAACTGCGGCTCGCCTGGTGCGCTGTACAACGGGCGGCTGGACGGGTCAAGCACCACCTTCGGGGCGGTGATAGAGGCTCGGTGCACGGACCACATGCTGTACGAGGGCCACCACACACACCGCCTCGTCTGTCAGCAGAATGGTACCTGGTCCATCCCTCTACCCAGGTGCTTCGGTATGTATGCTGACCGTGTGTGTCTGTGTGTGTGTATGTGAGAGAGAGAGAGGACCGAAGGAGGATATCAGAGTGCCTTGTTTTAGACCTTCGAGTGCCTTCACAAACTGCCTACTTGCACAGCACTGTCTTGCATCCATCCCCCTCATGCACAGCTACAAGCAGCAGCATCTCCGGCAGCAGCAGCAGCAGCATCACCAGCAGCAGCATGATCGCCTGTGATGCATGACAACCTCATATAAAATTGTCAGCCTTTAAAACGAGAACTCCATCAAGGATGTGACCAGTGCCAGGAGATGTGTCAAGTTAAAGTGTAAATAAACAATACCTCAGGAATGACCATTACCCAGCCTCACACTCCAGCACTGGTTCATTCCTCGTGGAGCTCTGTTGGTCATTGCCTGATTACCACTAATATAAAGTGACAGTCTGGAACACCTTGTTGATATCCAGTATAAACGACGTCTTAGCTGGTAGGAACATCTCTTTCTCTCCTTGTCTCACGTGTTCTCTTTCATACATATGGTTATGCAACTTGTTGCATGCTTTTTCCTTCTACTTTCGTGTCTTTAAACTCTCTTCTTCGGGAACTGGAAATATGGGCTGAGGTGAGTGACTGGTGTAGGGGTCTTCTTCCGCGACTCTCTAACACTCCTCTACCTTTACATTATATTTTCCTACTTTGAGAAAAGGTTTCAGGTGAGTTTATGGACTGTGTCGTGTTGATAGGGGGTATTGCTATCCTTCTGAACCTTTAAACTACATTTCTCTACCTGGAGGTGAGGTGAGTGTCAGGCGTTGCTTGGGTTGTGTCCTCAGAGATCAACTGTGGTCACCCTGGTTACCTGTCCAACGGCTGGCTGGACAACATCGACCAAGGAACGGCCATGGGCGCCTCCATCATCTTCCGCTGTTACCCCAACATGACTATCGAGGGCGACCAGTCCACTGTCTGCCAGGCGGACGGCTCCTGGAGTAAACCCCTGCCCTTGTGTCTGGGTGAGTCAAAGGGCACAGTCAAAGGGCACAGTCAAAGGGCTGGTTATATGTGGGAAATCTAGCTGGGGGAGTTGTTTACGTGGGAGACCCTATAATGAAACAAGCCCCCAGCCCCTGTGTCTGGGGTAGTCTGTCCTGTAAGCGGCCAGGAAGCAGAGGTACTCGATCGTGTAAGACTCAATTTGGAACAATTATTTGACATGTTAGAGATTTAGCTGTGGGAGTTGCTTATAGGTGGGTGGCCCAGCTAGAGGTGTTCATACGTGGGAGCAACTGTACTGTACACCTGGGAGACGGAGATGTTGTTAAGACAAGTGTACACCTGAGAAAGACCTGAACACATCCACAAGTCATCCTGTACAAGACATGATCTGTTAAGTTGTAATCATCTCAGTGTTCTGTTTACATTACCATAACTGAATACAATCTACACCATTAATAAACTCTACGGTTTTTATAATATTTACTGAATATTTCTCAAGATAATTTAAAGGTAAGAGGTGATGTCGTTTCCCTGGAGGTCTTTCAAGGGATACAATTATCTTTACAAATTCCCTCAGTAATATAGTGTAATGTTAGACCAGTTTAGTTATATACTATACCATGTGGACGGAACAGCTAAGAGGTGGGAGTTTTATAATATACTTTCTATATACTGTTTACGGATTTACTGACTGCTTCTTTATATAATGTCATGCAATATACGCACCTTTCTATACTATATTATCGCACACGTCTGTTAGTTATAAGTTGATAGCTTTATAAGAATGATTAATTTATATATTATAGTAATGTGAAGATGTTTCTTTTCTATCAGTAAATTGTTGTGTTTTTTATATATCAATGTTATAAAGTCCTATAAACTATAAACAATGACTTGTTCTTGAAGGTGACGATTATCTCTTAGTGTTGTATTTCTTCTCTTTATTCACTAACTACTAAACTTGATCTTATGTCACCCAACTTCTCTCTTAATTCACAAATATCAATATTAGTTTCCTTAGTACGTAGTTGTGACCTAACTTAACCTAATCTAACCTGACCTGACCTGACCTGACCTCTGGGTGTGCCGGCAGCTCCCTGTATCGTGCCAACCATCGACTTCGGAACACTACGCAACGAGACTCGCAGCGGTGACCAAGTTCCTCACGGCAGCATCATCGACGTTCAATGTGACAAGAACTACGAACTGGCCTACAGTCTCGCCCCCTCCCTCTGTTACAACGGCACCTGGACCAATTACCCTCGGTGCCAACCAGGTGAGTCAGTGACGTAGGTGAGTCAGTGGCATAGGTGAGTGAGTTGCAGAGGGTGATTTAGTGGAACAGGTGAGTTGGTGAAACATGTGAGTCAGTGGCACAGGTGAGTCAGTGGCATAGGTGAGTGAGTTGCAGAGGGTGATTTAGTGGAACAGGTGAGTTAATGGGATTCAGTCAAGGGAGTGTCACAGCCAACCAGGGTGAATTAATGGCATATTAAGAGAAAAAACAATATTAGTCCTATGTGTAGTTGTAGTCCGTCTGTCTATATGTCTGTCTGTCTGTCTGTCTCCCCTGTCTGTCTGTGCATCTGTCTGTCTGCTCTGTTTCCCCTGTCTGTCTATATGTCTGTCTGTCTGTCTGTCTCCCTGTCTGTCTGTGTATCTGTCTGTCTGTCTGTCTCCCTATCTGTCTGTGTATCTGTCTGTCTGTTTGTTTCCCTGTCTGTCTGTGTGTCGTAATATCTTTTTCTCATTCTCTGTCTCTCTGTATGGTGATGTCTTTTTCTGTCATTTTTGTTTTTCTCTTCCTTTCTCTCTTATCTCTCTATTTCTGTCTCTATCTATTGTTTATCTCTATCTCCCCCTTTTCTCCCCTCTCATAAATTATCTTTCATGTCACTTCTTTCGTCTCTTTAAACAGACAGACAGACAGACAGACAGACAGACAGATAATGAGAGAGTTAGATAATAAATAAATGGCCGGGAAAAATGCTATTAAGATAATTATATGTAGGTAATTAAGTCTTTAGGAGGAAGTTTTTTGTCTGAACACCTTTTAGAAGAGAGAGAGAGAGAGAGAGAGAGAGAGAGAGAGAGAGAGAGAGAGAAATTAACTACACAAATTAATTATATATATTAGAATTTAAAAATATCAATATCTAGTAATTTGACCAAAACTAATATAGCCATAGTAATTTACATAAAGATTCACATTAATACACCTGTAAATGTTAAAAGAACTGTGTAAATAACTAGGAATGTGTAAATAAACTTGTATGACATATTTACATACGTCGAATACAGATTCTCAATATGTTTCATTGTGTAAAAAAGTATATTTCATTTGGTAATATATATAACAGGTAAAATAACACAGCCCTTTGATATGTAAATTACAGAAAGCGGGTTTTTTTTATGTGTGTGTGTGTGTGTGTGTGTGTGTGTGTGTGTGTGTGTGTGCCTATCTATTTCGTCTGTCACCCATTCCTCTGCCCTCACTCTCTCTCCCAAGTAACCTCTCCTGCTAACCCTCCTCCTCCTCTCCCAAGTAACCCCCCCTCTCCCTCCCTCTCCCCAGCACGGTGCAAGAAGCTCCCTGACCGCCCAAGACACGGGATGGTGATAGCACCGAAAACAGACCACGGCAAGATGGCTCGGTACCGCTGCAAGGACGGGTACCAGCTGCAAGGGACTCTCAATACCACCTGCGAGTATGGTAATTGGACAGGTACCACGCCCAGCTGTCAGGAAGGTGAGGATACCAAGTTAGGTATTATTCTGATACTATTGTTATGTTGACTTATTAGTTTGTTCATAATTTTATCAGAATTCTATCACAATCTCTCTTTGTCATCTTCCCTCTACAACCATCTGTCTACCACTATTCCTCTACCACCACCAATCTACTATTTATCATTCCCATACATCCATCTACCACCATTCATCTACCAATTATCCCTCTACCACCCTCTACTCACCCCCTCTACCACCCCCACTACCAATTAACCCTCTACCAATCTGTTCTCTACCACGAACCCTATCACCCTCTACCACCAATCTCTACCACTAATTCACAACTCTACTCACCCCCTTTACCACGACCCCCCACCACCCTCCACCAATTCCCCCCACCAACCCCCCACCACCCCCACCACCAATCTCTAACAATCTCCCCCACCACCACCCCCCACCACCCCCACCAACTCTCTATCACCACACCCTTCTACCACCCCCCCACCACCACCCCCCTACACCTCTACCACCTCTACCACCACCTCTACCACCCCCTCTACCATCACCCCCACCGCCATCCCCCACCAACTCTCCCCACCAATCAATCTCTCACCACCAACTTCACCACCAATTAACTTCACCACCCCCACCAATCAACTCTCCAAGCCAACTCCCCATAACCAACTCTACCACCACCACCTCTACCACCCCTCTACCACCACCCTCTGCCACCCTCACACCTCTACCACCAATTTCTACCACCCACTCTACCACCCCTACCACACCTCTACCACCCCCTCTACCACCACTAACATACTAATGCCCCCACAGTGTACTGCCCCTTCCCGGGAGAGCTGATGCACGGTCGGGTCCTGCTGGTGGGTAACATGGGCATGTATGACTACCGCTCCTATGTTAAAAAGGTTAGTTCCTGTATGGGTGTATGGTTGGTGCATACATACATACATACAATACATACATACATACATACATACATACATACATACATACATACATACATACATAGGACTTAATCCCTAAGATGATAAACTAAAATAAGTAATTATGTTATATATTACTAAGAACATCACGAAACAGCAGTAGTAGAGGAGTCGAGCTGTGTCCCATGTGGAGTCAGCGGGGCAACTGATGAGATCAGTAAAATCTACCTTATATATAGAGTGATGGTATGCCTGGTTAGGGTCTCTGATGGTCGAAAGAGGTGGTTTAAACAAGACTGTAGTTAGTTTGTTATGAACGAGCGATCTTGTTATTATGTTTTAGGTTCCGATGGTGATAAGAGATAGTATGGTGATAAGAGATAGCATGGTGATAAGAGATAGTATGGTGATAAGAGATAGTATGGAAATGTTATCAAGTAAATATGTTATCTTTATCTCTTCGTTGTTGTTGTTTATCCTACATGTACACCCCCCCCAGGACCCCCCCAGGACCCCCCCCCAGGACCCCCCCCAGGAAAATTGCATCAGTTTACAAAATTTAAAAGATATTCCCCAGGTGTACAGTGGCTTTTCGATCAGTGTATATACAGTATAACTAACAACTGGCAACATCAAGTGACCTTTGACCTCTATGTGACCCTCAGGTACGTAACAACAGACAGCTAAGGTTCGCGTGTAATCGTGGGTTCTACCTAGTTGAGGGACCACCTGGTGCCACCTGTGTACACGGCAGATGGAGCCCCAAGGAGATGCCCAGGTAAGCTGTCTCACCTACTGGAGGGTGAGATGTGTCTTGAGGCAATGAGACTTGGGGTTAGTCTATCCTTGAGTGGGTCTTCTATGCCTGTCTGTCTGTCTGTCTGTCTGTCTGTCTGTCTGTCTGTCTTTCATGTATTTGTCTTTTTAGACTCTCTCAACTGAGCCATCGGGTCATTAATTAACAGGTGCACAACTCCTCCCCCCGACAGGTGTAAACCCGACCTACACCCGAGGTTCCGTTGGCTCAAGAGGTCCGTCAACGCCACCGACTTCGCCCAGGCCTACAACATGACGACCAAGGGTGACAACCACATCCTTGACGACGGAGCTGAAGAGAAGATCGCTAGTGGTGCTGAGACGACAGGAGACACCGAAGAAGGCGAGGAAGGAGCAACAGAGAGTACACTAGGAGGCGAGGAAGAGGAGGATATGGAAGAAGATGGCATAGAAGAAACGACAGATGAAAATGTATTTGAAGATCCAATCATTAATGAAGATGAGAGGACGAAAATGAAGGATCGTGTCACCATCACCTCGACGACCACACCATCAACACTGTCACCAAGACCTGATTATATTCTCCTCCAGGCGACGACGCTCTCCTTCAACGATGACCCCGACGGCAGAAACAAGCCCAGAGGTCTCTACAAGTTAGCCCCATCAAGATCAGAAACCCCTCCTCCTCCTCCTCCTCCTCCTCCTCGCGCTCCCTCTGGTGAGAAGAACCCAGCTGGTCTAGGGAAGAGGCTGAGGGGTCCACTGATTGACTTCTATAGGCTGCTGAGGACAGAAAATACGCCTCACGAAGGACATAAAATTGAGATCGGAGGCTGGCCATCTTTAAAGCGGGTACCCAGGAGTGTGCTAGAGAAAGAGAAGAAAGACAAGAAGCGCAAGAGGAGGAATAAGTGGAAGAAGAAGGGGAAGCGAGGTAAGGGATTGGAAGTGGTTACCTCACACCATAAGAACCACAGGTAATGTAAACAAAAAAAGAGGTAATTAACATATATTATAGATTAGAGCACACCTGAGGACAATAATTAAAGAATGATTGACAGGTAACGAGGCAGGTAATAGTGTTTTATTATTCCCCTGCCCAAAGGAAATTAGTTAGTGATATTGACATAGAAATTGTTTAAGTCACATAGTCTGTCAGTCACACCGTGTAGGGTTAAGTTAAATTATATCAGGGAATCTAAATTCACAGAGATTCTTTTAGTCCATTTTAGTTCAGTATTTTTGTTATTTCTTGTTAAAAGGAATAATTGTAGCTCTATGGTAATACATGATTTATTTTTCTCAGCGTCCTATCTATCCCCACTCGCTCTCTCCTAGGACTCTCTCTCTCTCTCTCGTATATTTATCCCCACTCTATCTTCCCTCTCCCTCTCTATCCTCTCTCCCCTTTTATCTAGCCTCTCCCTCTTCTTTTTAGTCTCCTTCTGTCTAGTTTCTCTCTAGCCTCCCTTTCTCTAACCTCTTTGTCTCGCCTCCCTCTCTCTATCCATCACCCCCTCTCCCTATCCTCACTATCATCAGGTTACTGTCTATTCTATCCACTCTCACCTCACCTCCTATCCCACTCACTATCCCCAGAGAAGCACCAAAAAAAAAAAAACCAACCCCTACCTAGCCTTCTCTATCCCTCTCCTACCAGACTCGCCAGCCGTACCTCACTGTGAACCTATCCCGAGCGAACCGTACCTACGTGTGGAAGTTATACGTAAAGGCCGGGACAGCAACTACACGTACTCAGCCGGTGCACGTATAAAGGTGACCTGTTTACATGGTTACGGTCTAAACATTGGTAACCGGACTGCCAAATGTGCACGACGAGGAAAGTGGAAACCTATGAAACCTGAGTGTGTGACTTGTGAGTATTAGAGTGTGTTATGTCATTGTTGTTGTATATGTGTGTGTGTGTGTAAGTGTGTGTGTTTTATTATCAAGAGTCAGAGTGTGTAGTGTGATTATCAGTGTGTTTTGATGTGTCGGGTGAGTGTAAAGTGCATGTCAATTACAAAGTGTAAGTGTTTAAGTGTGTAAATGTGTAAGTGTATTATATATTATTATCATTAAATGTGAGTTATTATGAACAACTATGTAAATGTTATCAAATCTCTTTCCTAACCTAACCAACACTTCATACTTTTCATCTCCGCTGCTGCTTGTACGTGACGATACGTGGCTGTACGTTGCCTCCTCTTCTTCCTCCTCCACGTACAGTACCATGCACCGTGTCAGAGGCTCTCCACGGACACTTTGAGTTTAATGGCGTGGCGGTACGTGAACGAGCTATCATTAGTCATGGTGAGGTGGGCAAGTTTTCGTGTCAGAAGGGCTACACCGTCCTTGGATCAGATACCATGAGGTGTTGGTATGGGTCTTGGGCTGTCACTGGCAAAAACCCCGAATGCATACCAAGTAAGTACCAATATACCTGAGTACTAATTATACCTGTAGTCATTAACCTTGTGAGTACCAAAATACCTGAGTACTAATTATACCTGTAGTCATTAACCTTGTGAGTACCAAAATACCTGAGTACCAAAATACCTGAGTACCAAAATACCTGAGTACCAAAATACCTGAGTACCAAAATACCTGAGTACCAAAATACCTGTAATCATAATATTCCCTCCTAATGTGTACAACTCTATCATGCCAACTTACTGTACACGTCACCACATAATTAACAATAGGTAAAGAATCAAAGCATTTAACATATCATTTCGTACACTATGATCCTTTAAATACCTAGTGTTAATACGGGTCCCATTTAACAATACCCGGATGTAAAGTTAACAATACCCGGATGTAAAGTTAACAATACCCGGATGTAAAGTTAACAATACCCGGATGTAAAGTTAACAATACCCGGATGTAAAGTTAACAATACCCGGATGTAAAGTTAACAATATCCGGATGTAGGGTTAACTATTTATTAACTTACATTAACACAATTATTATCCCTCAATTCTTCATAATTAAAGATTCTCTGGATATCATTATTAATAATTTTCATATTAAGTGACACCTCCATCTAACGAACATATTGGTATGGAAGTCCGTTATATCGAGGGTTCATTACATGTGAAACCTCCATCTAACGAACATATTGGTATGGAAGTCCGTTATATCGAGGGTTCATTAGACGTTAAACTCCCATCAAATGAATTATATGGAGAAAGAAGTCCGTTATATGGAGATAGAAGTCCGTTATATGGAGATAGAAGTCCGTTATATGGAGATAGAAGTCCGTTATATGGAGATAGAAGTCCGTTATATGGAGGTTACAGTGTTATTAGATTTACAGGACATTAAACCTTCCCCCAGGTAACTTCTCCCACCTTTTACCTTCAGATAATTGCATCTTACCTGATCTGAATCACGGGAAATACACAGCTGGGTATAAGAAAGGCCTAACCATCATCCACGGGGCATCAGTTGGTCACGTGTGATGAAGGCTGGCTGGTGAGTATTCCAAACGTCAACTGTTTCTTGGGGAACTTGATGCCAGCGCCACCAGCCTGCACTACACCAGCACATACCAGAGAGGTTATCAACAGTGAACCAGCGCCTGTCAAGAGAGAACACACCGAAACTCCTCAATACAGTACTGGCGGTGAGATGAGATAGTGGTTAATGTTATAGCTTCATGGGTTACAGTACTGGGGTGGGTGTCAGTACTGGGGTGGGTGTCAGTACTGGGTGGGTGTCAGTACTGGGGTGGGTGTCAGTACTGGGGTGGGTGTCAGTACTGGGTGGGTGTCAGTACTGGGGTGGGTTACGTACTGGGATGGGTTTCAGTACTGGGGTGGGTTGCAGTACTGGGGTGGGTTACAGTGGGTTACAGTACTGGGTGTGTTACAGTACTGGGGTGGTGTCAGTACTGGGGTGGGTTGGTTGCAGTACTGGGGTGGGTTACAGTGGGTTACAGTACTGGGGTGTATGTGCTGTTCTGTCTTGAATAAACAGCTGTAAGTTGCTGTTTTAATGGGCTGTTCTCCCCCTTGTGTACAGCAGTAGGTCTCTTTTATGCTGTTCATTTATTTTTCACAGCATTAGTTCATTTTTCTATCTGTGCTGTTCTCTCATGGGAACAGCAATAGGTTATCTCATCACTGTATTATTTTAAGGAAACAGAAGTGGAGTTCTTCCTTGCTGTGCTCTTCTATTCTGAGGAAACTCATCACATTATTACACAGTTTTATGATCTATGTTCCATAACTCATTTGCATATCAAAAATCACCTTAAGTGTGTTGATTTAGTGAGAGTCATCAGCTGAAGGAGAGATGAGGGGAATTAAGAGTTGTTGTTCACCTCAGAGGCACAAACATCAGGGAGGAATCAATAAATGCCAGAAAATGTTTATCAATGGTGGATCGTGGTCGCCAACCCTCAGACAGGAGGATGGAGAATAAATTGAATAATTGATTGATTGCTTATTCAGGAACTGTGATTATTTTATCTATTTCTGTCGCAATCGCTTCACTTTATGAAATTATTATCAATATACCAGCTATATATAAAGTTTGTATCTCATTTACATTTTACTAATCAATTTATGCATTAATTAACAGGTAAAATATGTCCAACTTACCTAAAAGAAACTTGTTATGATAGGGTGACATAATGGTAAACAAAAGGCCCTGTACCGAGCTTAGAAAATATACTGAAGTGTGTTTTTGGGGTAAGTATAGCGCCCCTTACTGAGCATAGAGACAAAAATTATATAAAGAGGTATTTGAAGGTCAGGATATAGTGAAGCTGTGGTGATATAGTGAAGCTTTGGTGATATAGTGAAGCTGTGGTGATATAGTGAAGCTATGGTGATATAGTGAAGCTTTGGTGATATAGTGAAGCTGTGATGATATAGTGAAGCTTTGGTGATATAGTGAAGCTTTGGTGATATATAGTGAAGCTTTGGTGATATAGTGAAGCTGTGGTGATATAGTGAAGCTGTGGTGATATAGTGAAGCTTTGGTGATATAGTGAAGCTGTGGTGATATAGTGAAGCTGTGGTGATATAGTGAAGCTTTGGTGATATAGTGAAACTTTGGTGATATAGTGAAGCTGTGGTGATATAGTGAAGCTTTGGTGATATAGTGAAGCTGTGGTGATATAGTGAAGCTGTGGTGATATAGTGAAGCTGTGGTATTATAGTGAAGCTGTGGTGATATAGTGAAGCTGTGTGGATGAGCCAAGGTACCAGAGCTTAGCCTGAGGGAGAGCAGTAGCAAACACCCTCCCTCCTGACCCCCCACCCCTAGTAGCATCACCCCCTCAACCCCCTCCTCCTCCCCTCTAGCAGCGAATAACGACGGTGACTTGACTCAGGCGGTGACATTACTGATATGGGATTATCCTCCAACCTGCGGAAGTCATGCAGTCCTCCCATAGTCGTTCCAGGTTCTCAAGGCTACAAAGGAGAGGAGCCGTTGGATGAGAGGGACCAGAAGTAAGTATTGGTGGTGTGTGTGTGTGTGTGTGGAGAGGGTGGGGGGGTGGGGTGGTGTGTGGAGAGGGGTGGGGGGTAGGGTTGTGTGTGGAGAGGGGGGGGGGGGGGTTGTGTGGAGAGGGGTGGGGGTAGGGTTGTGTGTGGAGAGGGGTGGGGGGGTGGGGTTGTGTGTGGAGAGGGTGGGGGGTAGGGGTTGTGTGGAGGGGTGGGGTGTGGTAGGGGTGTGTGTGGAGGGTGGTGTGGGGGGTTGTTGTGCATGGTGGTGTGGTTGTATGTGTGGTGGTGATGGTGTGGTTGTATGTGTGGTGGTGATGGTGTGGTTGTATGTGGTGGTGATGGTGTGGTTGTATGTGGTGGTGATGTGTGGTTGTATGTGTGGTGGTGGTTGTATGTGTGGTGGTGATGGTGTGGTTGTATGTGTGGTGGTGTGATGGTGTGGTTGTATGTGTGGTGGTGATGGTGTGGTTGTATGTGTTGTGGTGATGGTGTGGTTGCATGTGTGATGGTGATGGTGTGGTTGTATGTGTGGTGGGTGATGGTGTGGTTGTATGTGTGGTGGTGATGGGTGTTTGTATGTATGGTGGTGATGGTGTGGATTATATGTGTGGTGATGGGTTGTATGTGTGGTGGTGATGGTGTGGTTGTATGTGT